TATATATATATATATATATATATATATATATATAATGCACACTCCCAATAATATATTTCTCTTTTTCTTTCTCATACCTCTTTCCCTTTATTTATCTGTATCAAATCCATTTGTATTCTCGGCCATTGGAAGCATCTCTCTGTCTTTCGCATATGAATCTAGAAACAACAGAACAAACAACAAATATTTCAACAATATACTTACTGACAGTATCAAAATTTTTAGTTTAGGACACCATAATTTACCATAAGCTTTTCGTATTGTACATTGAAGAATGTTTCATGTTTTACAGTTTGCATCAATATATGTCTTTATAGCTTTGTCTTTATCTTTTAAATTTTGTGGACCTAAAATTACGTCGTCAACAATCCACTTGGTTGGGACAACAGATATAATTATTTGTCCTTCTTTATTCTTTGTTTCAAGAATACTGCTTTATCTAAAGTACAAAAATATGGCGCTATGATTTTTCTGCCTGGAAAACAGCAAAATAAAACATAATTCTACACGTTTCTACAAATTGTCTACACTTTTCAGCACCTAACACCTTTTGAAATTTATGAAAATCATGAAACATATATTTTGTATACATAAATTACAGAAATATCAAAGTATTAGAAACTAGACGATACATATCATCAAATATTAATCAAAATATTTCCTTCAGCCATTATTTATATTTGTAAGGCATAATTATATGGAAATCATTTACTATAATACGCTGGAAAAGGAAAAGCAGAAGAAAGTCATGTAAGTGGTCATAGGAAAAACTAAGTTAACATGTACAGCTAAACTATATTAGAAAAAATAGTCCACAAATCTTGTAACAGAAGAATTATTCTCAGTTATGAAATATTACAATAAATGGAGCAGAGGAAATACTGCATATCCCAGTTCCCCAAAAGGAAGACATGCATTTAAAAAGTATGTCCGAAAAATCATAAACAGTTACATTCTCATTCATATTACCGACAACACAAATCCCCAAATCACTGGATAGCAGTGAGTAATCATATAGATCTTTAGAACTTTCAAAAGTTTTTACTACAATTTTCAATCTTACATCACTAGTATGAACAATGTTTTGAACAAGCCCTAACATTCCGTCCTTGAGGCAAACACAATTATTTGGTTGAGTTATAGTTTATACTTATAGTTAGAATATAAGATTCATGTTCATATCCTGATAGCAAAATGTCAGCAATATGCCGACAAATTGCCAGCAAAATCAATCATAGAATTGTAGCAAATTTACAGCATATATACTACCATTATGCTGGTATTATGTCGGCAAAGCATGCCGAAATTATTTGAGGGCAGAGTGCTTGTAAAAACCGAACGAGACGTGTCGAGCAAGCGTGACGGTAAATTTACGGCAAACAGTGAGCAAGACGTGCCGAGCAACGCGTGACGGCAAACAGCGAGCAAGACGTGCCGAACAACGCGTGACGACAAATTTACGGCAAAAATTGAGCAAGATGTGCCGGCTATGAACAGGCCAAAATTACTCGAGTAGAATTTGCACCTTATGAGAATCTAGTCATTACCCTTACGAAAAAATACTATTAGTGATAATAGTGTCACTAATAGTATCACTAGTAGTGCTAGTAGTGTCACTATTAGTGCTAATAGTGTTACTAACAGTATCACTAGTAGTTCTAGTAGTGTCACTAGTAGTGCTAACAGTGTCACTGTTAGTTACACTATTAGTGCTATTAGTGACACTATTAATGTTAATAGTAGCACTGTTAGTGACACTAATAGTACTAATTGTGACACTATTAGTAATGATAGTAACACTACTAGTGTTAGCATACTATTAGTGACACCAGTAATGTCAGAAGTGACATTACAAATGCCAATAGTGGTAATATCAGTATTATGGCTGCGTTCCGTTTTACGCATAATGTGCACATTTGTATAATATGTGATATAAAGTTTAGATAAATGCGCGCATATGCGTAAAACGGAACGTGGCCTATAACCCAGACAGCACAATGTCCAAAACCGGGACATAAGACGACTTTAAGACGTCTTTAAGGGTCATATTCATAGTCGGGTCTTATATCTTAAGTTTACCTTCAGATACTTCATAGCCAATGAAATAATCCGTACATCATCTGAAGATGAACTTAAGACGGTCTTAAATATAAGATCTGACTATAAATACGGGCTTTAGTTGTCTTTAAGATGTCTGCACGAAAGACGTCTATTATGGCCATTCTACAATAAGCTTTTAGTCATAAGTCCTAATAAAATTGACCAATCATAGTCGACTATTAGAAGAATAATCCACTGTAATTGGTCAATTTTATTACGACTTAAAACTTATTGCTTATTGTAGAATGGCCATTAGACATCCTTAAGACGTCTTTAAAACGTCTTATGTCCCGATTTTAGATTTTGTGCTGTCTGGGAAGTGGCACTTGATGCGCTGATATGTACAAACATGTATACTTTATTGTTATTATAGAAAAACTATGAAAGATAATTAATTATTACTATCGGGAATACATTTTTCAAATTATTACATATAATTTTTGCTGTACAAACATTTATTTTCTATGACAATTACATTTATAATGTGGCACAATTACATAAGTGTATGCTTCATTAAAGGGTGTATATCAGTTGGACACGGGGCAATTGGACACAGTCCAATCACAAGTCGCTGTTCCAAGGGACCCTACAAATGTCTCTAATCACACGGTGCTGTGATTGGCTGTATCCAAATGCACCGTGTCCAAGTGCACCGCTCCCTCATTAAACTTAATTCTTTATTAGTCTATCTCGATATTGTTGACAAGGCGCGTAATAACGAAGTCATCATGTCCTGCATTTTGATACATTTTCTACGCAATGAAGTAGGACAGATCGCGATAATTGTATTAGTTATAGAACATACAAAAAATTGGTTTCTTGATGATATAGTAGAATCTGAAGTAATGCATAATTCGGTGTTAGTTCTGTTTAAAAGTCTTCCAATGACGACATTTCAATTGTGCATTGGATTGTGTACGAACACCTAACATCGTATGTATGATGATAAAAGAACCATTATGCAACTCAGCCGTACAATTATCACGCTTTTTCAATGCTTTACATATATCCGTATGCCACAAAATTTTATTTATGATAAATCGTTTAAAGCTATCAGCAATCTAAAATATGTTCGCCTAAAAAAGCTTCTACTATTGTTTTTTCAAACAAAGATAGTTTAATCATTTTTGGTGTTCCGAATAATCGTAAAAAGTTTCCGTATGTGATACATTGTTGAGGTCGATACACTCCACTTATTTTGTTGTACAGTGTTCTTGCATCTTCGGAACAGTCTATGCGTGAAAAAATAATTGCAGATAATTGTTCAGCATTCTTAAATCTAATATAAGATTTGTTCTGGTACAGCTTGAGAATTTTTGAACATTTTATTTAAAACTCCATTGTAATGTTCAAACGGAAACGTGGATTTTGTCCAAAGAGCACCAAATCTTTTAACGGATGAAGGTATGTGAAGCATTATATGTACATTAAATTTATAGAATTGTATACCGTATAACTGTTCAATTTGAAATACAAAACGTTGTATAGCAATTTCAGCTGAAGAAAAATCTGTGTTTGTTATTGTTTCTTGCAACAATATATACATACTGAACACTAGATAAAACCAATGCTTAAGATATGCTGTAGGCATTACATTTTGCATACATATCATGGAATAGTAGAGAAGAAAATGTTTCCATTCAGAACCTTTCCACATTTTTCTCTCATTAATTGACCGTGGAGTTTGCGTTATTTCACATGGCGGCTTTATCTTTAATAGTTTTCTATCAAAGATAGTCGTCTTGGTGCCAAGATACCATGGTTTGTCATGATAAGTAGAATCAAACCATGCCTCAGTGAATGTCTTCACGACTCCCAATAAAATACTATGAAGATAATCCGGCGTGAACGAAGTGACAATATTGAATACTGGTAACAGCATAAGAATAGAAGGTCCTTTGATACCTCTCACAATCTTGCCACCCTGCATACATATTTTACAATCTTGTTCATGTTGACGTAGTGTTCTACTACTGCCTACATCTCCCGGATAAACTCTTGTTGATCCTCTTCCCACTGTGACCTGCTGACCTTCATGCAAGCAAAATGAATAACCATATCGCCCATTATATTGTACAATTTCTTGAAGAATTGGCCTTGCAACAGAATCTACAGGGCTTACAATTGTATGAATTTTTATACACATTTTTTGTCCGTTTACATTCCGTATGATTCCTTTCTCATGTAAAGAAGTCAATTCTTCAACAAAAGAATTTAAATATAAATGCATATTAGGTTTATCGCGACCATACCATAGACCACAAAGTATCATATTTTCTCTTCGAATTCTATATGGCAATTCATTTATACACACTTGGATTGGCCACAGAGAAAGTGGCGAAGAACGGCACAGTTTAACGCCATCCGTATTAAATTGCAAAGTAATATCGTTTTCAGAAATCATACCATTTTCTACCATTGATCTATAAAAAGTCCCGGAAGATACATCAGAAATTGACTCATTCCTCTTAACTAACAAATCATAGACATGACTGTTTACAATCTTATGTAATTGGCTTTGTAACGGAAGACGTATGAAGTAGTACATGTTATTTGTCAAAAATGACTTCATATATTTTGTACTGCATTGCAAACATGTAACATTTGTATTCTCTTTAAGATGGTTCAGATTTAAGATTCTTTCGCAATTCGGACAATAATAATGTTTGCATACAGAAACGAAATTTTCATACTCATTGAAAAACATGTACTTACTTCTGAATACAGAATTAGGTAGTAACAAATCTATCAACTCAATAAGATGTTCTAATGCTACGTCACTTAAATGATGACGAATGGTGAAATGCAAGAGTAATAAATATCCTTCTTCTTTTGATATACGAAAACCTTCATAAAGTGAGTCTCGAGTCTGAAAAACGAAATCATTGTATTCATTAAGGGGACTTCATTTAAATGTAAACAATGTAAATGTGTTGAATGCCCAATGTATTACAATATAAAAATTATGGCAACAAATTTTGTTAATATTTGTTACAAAAATTTACATACATTGTTGTCTCCTGGGATGTATTCAAATTTCTCGATATCTTCTGCATCCTCAAACGCATCGTTATCACTATTATCACAGCTATCTTCATGAAATGAATTATCATCATCTTGTGTATCATTGTCATAACTATTACTGGATTCTTCCTCACTTGGAATATTTGGAATTGACGATACTCTACTCAACATTTCTTCGTTCTACAAAAAAGAATATGCGTTTATATTGTGTGTATACACTTTCACATATTTTTATTGTATATAATAAAATACTGTAACGTTTTTCATAAACAGAAAGATATAATTTACTTACATCACTATTGGATCTACTTGATACAGATAGTCGGTCACTATATTCACTATTTCCATGAATATTCCATGAACGTGACTGTTATTGTACATCAATGGAGTATGGATGGATATTCATGTTCCATGTCTATTGTCTGCATATGAAACATGAATACTATTAATAATATGTAACTAATTAAAGAACCAAATATATGCATAATAATATATACGTCAAATCATTGAAAAACTGAACCAAGATGAAACTATCTTATGTTGTATATATACTAAGATATCCCTATTGAAATCATAAATTAACAATTCATTTTATTACCACGTCGTTTAATTGCAATTGTCGGCTGCATTGTGCGTTATCTACATTAGAAGTAACTACTGCTATTGCTCTAGAACGGAGTGTTGATTGTGGCATTTCACGATCATTCCTCAAGTAGGACTTGTAAGAGGGAGCGGTGCACTTGGACACGGTGCATTTGGACACAGCCAATCACAGTACCGTGTGATTAGAGACATTTGTAGGGTCCCTTGGAACAGCGACTTGTGATTGGACTGTGTCCAATTGCCCCGTGTCCAATTGATATACACCCCTTGTAAGAGCCTCTTGCACAGTTGCTATCCACTGCACTATTCATATTTTTACCAACGTTGCTAAAATGAAATAATAAATGTCGACCTTATTAATTTCCTACTTTCTTGTAATACGCCAGCAAATCGAAGTTAACGCTTCTGTATTTATTTGGTTCAAGGTTAGTGTCCATAAAGGCCAGTGATGGCCCGTGCGGAACAAAATCTCACAGGCTCGAGTTTGCGCATGCGTCAGCTACATCATCCGCCAATGATAACCGCAGGAGTGACTGCCACGTCACTCTACGCATGCGCAGAAGGTCTCTTGCCGCGGAGAAAATCTAGCGAACTGTCAACACTGTCCCCCATCCCTGCACTATAGGCGATTCGCAGTCATACGCTTACATTTGCATTCGGGGAGACACTATTTGGCGCTATAAACGTGTTATGTCCTTGTTATTTACTGAAAATTGAACAAGAACAGAATACACTTTTAGAGCCAAATAGTGTCTCCCCGAACGCAGCTATTGTATAGTATTTTGTTTTAAGGCTACAGTTACAATTAATGTGTCGCTTTTTCTCGCGGATTTGTGGCGGCAGCACAAATACACTGGCGAAACGTTACGTTAAGAGCGTGAAAGTTCTGGCGAGTTCCGGCGAAAGAGAAAAGAGTTAGGGTAAATATTATAGATATTATCATTTATATTAATATTAAATGCAAAGAACAAATACTGCGTCATTACTTACCGAACTCACGTGTCACCATGTTTGTGTTTTATGTGCTCCGTTTTAGTGCTCGGTTTTCTGCATTCTTTTATATTTACTGTGCGTGTTTCTAATTGATTTATCGTAGCAGGTCGTAGTCTGAGCTTTTTGGGCATCAGTCTATTGAAAATACAGTAAACAAATTTACTTGATGA